CATACACACATACACACATACACACATACACACATACACACATACACACATACACACATACACACATACACACATACACACATACACACATACACACATACACACATACACACATACACACATACACACATACACACATACACACATACACACATACACACACCACTACCACCACCACCAAAACCACCACCGCCATCAGCACTGCGGCCCTAACACAGTTCCCACCCGCCTTTCCCGCGCTCTCTGCTGAATCGCAGGCGACCCAGCTTTATGAGATGGTATTGGTACGGCACGGCCTCATGCTGGTACGACATTGGTTGATATTTCAGAGGTCGTCCAATTGGGGCTTTTGTTTTCTTTTTGTCAGTTTGCCAGCACCGCCAACGGAATTAACGGAAGCCACGCAACATAACTACCTGCTTGACCCACCTTGGTCTCTCGCTCGCACTCCCATGTTCCCCCCGCCCTCTTCACCCCCCCCAATACACACTCGTACACACACGCGCGCAGGTGGGTTTGCCCTTCTCCGGCAAGACCACCGCGTATCGAACCCTGGCGGCGGCATTGACTCGGGTGGCTGAGAATGCGGCGGCGAGTGGTGGTAGTGGTGGTGGTGGCGGGGAGAGCAATCCACACGCCCGTCAGGTGGGGGGGTGTTGTGTGCGGCAGAGAAGGGGGCAGTGAGGGAGATGGTGTGTAGAAGCCTGGTAGCCGCCGTAACATCATCAACATCAACAACAATCCCCCATCGCCAGTTGCGTAAATTGTGTTGGTGTTGGCTTTTGTTTTGGTTTCGCTTCTGTTTAGCCCTTTGTGTTTGCCTGATGGCGGGAAGGAGGGTTGGAAGGACCGCTTCTCTCCTCTCCCGCCCCCCGCCTCGTCCCCACCCCCCACAAACCCCCGCCGTCCATTTTTTGGGGTTTATGGCTCTCTCTCCCCCCGCCCGCTGTGCTTATTTATAAATGAATAAAAAACATTTCTCACAGCCAAGTTAGGTATTTATTCCGCACCTAGGTCGCATCCATTGTACGGCAAATGTACGAGTCCCTTGTAACGTTTTTTACCAATGTTGTCATTATCATACAGACACACCTACATGCAGGCACGAACGTATATACGTGCATACATACTAGGGTTTGGCACCACTGGTAAGGCGCGACCATTGCCCCCGGGAGATCCCGGGATCGATACCCGATAGGGTCAAAAGTCCTTCCGATGGTGGAAGGTATTGCGCCCCTAGTTGATGGACGGTGGTGACCTGGGATAAAGTTTACCTGCGAGCCGACTAGGAATGGAGTTGGGCCACTGTCGACCCGGCAGATTCCGTTGGATGCTGGTGGTGGGTGCGGAACCTGAGCGATCCACTGAGAAGTTGACAAGGGTGACTGGATGAGGGTGCCCCGAAATACCGGGGAAGGCAGGGTTTCGCAGGGTAGCTGCCACGGGCGAAGATACACCCCCCTGTTTCACACATCATACATACATACGTACATACACACACGTGTATCACATTCCGGAGCCCCCGGGGCACGCAGGTGCACACCTCTACATTCCTGCTCAATCCGAAGGCGGTGACCATGGGTCAGCTGTACGGCCAGAACGATCCAGACAGGTGCGTCCGTACATACGCCCGTACTTACGTACATACATACGTACGTACGCAGGCACACATACGGTTGCAATTGCTAGTGGGCGCTAAAATGCTTTTTTAGAGTTTCTTTTCCCCATAGCCCCCACTCACACAAACACACATATTAACACGCTTCCCCAGCTACACAGAGCTACACAGTGTGTTTTTCCGCCTTCCCTTGGTGATGACGTCCCATGCGTTACTTCTCTATAACCTCTACTTCCCCCTCCCCTCCCTCCCTACCCGTTCGTGGTTCGTCTTCTTCCCCC